TATATATATATATATATATATATATATATATATATATATATATATATATATATATATATATATATATATATATATATATATATATATATATATATATATATATATATATATATATATAGATTTGTATCAGTATATTTGTATTGGTCCAGTCTGTACTTTGTAATTCGGGAGTCAAATTTGAGGAGGCCTGTGACAGTATACTTATTTACATGCTTCCAGATACTATCTGCAGCGTTTCTTACGCATCATTCAACTTACCAGGTGCCTATATTTTGCGGAATTTCTTTAGTGCACATACATGCGACGCTTCGCAGTCATGACCCAACTTTTCTGCTTATATTGTGAATTGTGTACGTTCTCTATAGGTAAAGTCGATAGAGCTGTCGATAGGCTGCTGACGAACCCTCCCACATTTGACGTGCCGAAACGCACAGGCACACCCCCTTTGACCACTGTGCATATGGATGCTGCCTTTGTGGGTGATGCCAAGGCAACCGACCAACTTAGGAGGGGCGAGGACGCAACTGCATTGCTGCCGGCTGGTATGTGGGATAGGTGGGCAACACTGTATGCAGAGTATATGAGGGTGATTGGTGGGTTTGAGTACTGGGTATAACTACTAGATGGCATAGATAGTGTGTATGTAGTCCAGTGTGTGAACAACGTATTGTCAACCAGGTGTATACACGTGATCATTTAGGGGTGACTGTGCATGTCTCAATATCATAGGTGAGATGACGATCACTAGGAGCATATATGCTGACCTCAGAGCGGATTCTATATTTCTTTAGCCTTGCACGCCACGCTTGCCCTAAAGTCATTGTATTGAACAAGTTCTCTTCGAGTTTAGTATGGAGTTTTCAATGGTGTCTATTTGATTGCGCCTGCAAGTGAACCGGTTCGCTACCCTCTGGGACCGACTGTTAGGTCTATGGCCATTTATTCTAATTGATACTTTCAATACTTACCCTGACCATAGCGTCTCCTGCCTATCTGGCAGGCGGGGGAGTTTCAAACGCACTTCGTGAGCGCATGGAGATCACTCCGAGTTCTACACACAGTGCGAGGCAGCCCGCACCCCCAGTGCACGCAATGGCTACACCTGACCATGCACCAGTGGCGCAGTGTGGGGAAGTCTCGGTGGGACACCAAAAGGGCCGAGGATCGCACGAGAGAGTGCGACCGGGGGGCAGTAGAACGGTTGAAGCTTCGCCAGGGCGGGATATCAGCACTCCCGTCAGTGCCGACTCACCGATGGGGGTGGATGGCACACGAGAGCATGGCTATGAGTCCGCAGGAGAACGCCAGAGGCAGCAGGTAACGGTAGGCAATGTGGCGGTAGGCACAGCTGACGAGGGGGTACATTCTCGCTTGGCCAGTGCCTATCTGTCCGTCCTTGCGGACCTCGGAACATCGAAGAGTAGTTTTAGCTCTGAAATGTCACAGGTTGCACCCGAGGCTCACCGGATAGGGCTGAGTGAGCAGGGCGGTGGAGGAGGTGAGCCGAAGGCAGCGACTGTGCACGTGACGAGAGTGGGAGATACAGGGCCGAGCACAGGCCAAGACCATCGGACTGTAGTTATGGTTGGCGAGGCGGGTGTTCGGAGGAAGGAGGCGGGGGTGCTGACATCATCTCCCTTCGCGAACCCCATGCCACGGCAGGCAGGAATACCGGTACAAAGCGGTACACAGGGCGAGACAGATGCGCCGCAAGGACAGGGTCAAGCAGGGCCTAGTGCTGGCAAGCACGGGTGTGGTATTGTCAACGTAACAGGGAATGACACAGACACGGGCAGCGGCAACGAACAGCCTGAGCCATTGGCTGATGGACGTGCCCAGACGCAGCGACACGCATGGCCCAAGCGACGCACAAGCCTACAGGTGAAGGACGATCAGAAGACACACGACACTTCACCAACCACACCACCACACACACACACGACCACCAGTGGGAGGGGAACACACAGGGACGAGCACACAGCACCACGCTCCTCAGCACACGACGACACCACGCTGTTATGTAGTACTACGCACAGAAGGTACAGTGCAGGGACACTCTCAGAAGGGCAAGCACAGCACACACAACAAACGCAGCCAACACAAATAACGCAACAAACACAACAAACAAACACAACACAAAATACGCAACACACACAACAAACACAACAAGCACAACAGCCAAAGACGCAACTCGAATCGGCAGTGGCTGATGTTGCGGGTGACCCCAGAGTAGGCGGTAGTACCGTAGGCCGAGCTGTGGTGAACAGAACAGCCACCGCAGAGAGGGAAGCGGAGACGGAGACGAAGACAACGGCCGAGATCACAGCAGACACCTCTCTCCGTCCAATTAGTCGTGGCAATAGAACGCACAGCTCAGCTGCGGATGGGGCGACAGCCGACGCGTCTGCGACAAGGGCGCCTGCAGCTACGGCAGACGCCAGGCCAAGCAGCACAGCCGAGCAAATGACTGGCAACGGTGTGTCTGGGGTGGATGGTATGGCAATCGACGCCAGGGTACGGGAATCCACCCATGCTGTCGATGGGGATAAGGAGATGGCGGGTGGCGACAGCATCACATCAGATGCCACGGCTGATCAAGGTTGGGATGGGGAGGTGTGTGGTGCGATTGACATTGACGCATGCGCGAGTGAGGGTCCTGAGCCACGCACAGGCGTAGCCGCAGATGACATTCCAGATGTCGACGCAATCGACGGATCCCCCTGCAGTAGTACGAGTGTGCGCGTGGTCTCTGGCTGTGGGAAACAGACCCTCGCGGGACGGACCAATGCAGAAGCTGTAGGTAAGGAGAGGGGCGACCAAGCAGTCCTCACACCCGCACGCAACACACGCTCAAGGACGCGCTTAGCCCAGAATACTGGGGTGTCCACAATTAGGACAGGGCCTACACCCGCACCCAAGAAAAGGGACCGCGGCAAGGTGGTTGATGTGATTCTCATCAGCAGCGAAGATGAGGCGTGCGACCGCGAGGACTTTGATTGGAAACCGGAGGTGGTTGCCAAGGCAACCAAGGCGCGCGTCAAGCGCAACAGTTTTGGCTCAATCAAACGATCGAATGCAGGGTCAGTCACGCGCAAACGTGCCAAAGCTTCGGGCGCGTCTGCGAAATCTGAGCCGTTCTCCGAGTCTGACGCTTTCAAACGGCTAAGGTTCGGTACTTGCTTTTTTTTTGTGGGAGTTGTGTGGTCGTGAAATATATCTGTGTATGTGGTATAGTGTGTGTCTGTTTGTGGTTTAGTGTCTGTATGTCTGTATGTTTGTAGTATAGTGTGTGTATGTTTGTGCTATAGTGTGTGTCTGTTTGTAGTATGGTGTGTGTATGTTTGTGGTATAATGTATGTTTGTGGTATAGTGTGTGTCTGTTTATGGTATAATTTCTGTATGTTTGTAGTATAGTGTGTATGTTTGTGGTATAGTGTGTGTCTGTTGTAGTATGGTGTGTATGTTGTGCTATAATGTCTGTATGTTGTAGTATAGTGTGTGTATGTTGTGGAATAGTGTGTGTCTGTTTGTGATATAATGTCTGTGTGTTTGTAGTATAATGTGTGTATGTTTGTGCTATAGTGTGTGTTTGTTTGTAGTATAGTGTGTGCCTGTTTGTGGTATAATGTCTGTATGTCTGTATGTTTGTAGTATTGTGTGTGTATGTTTGTGGTGTAGTGTGTGTCTGTTTGTGGTATAATGTCTGTATGTTTGTAGTATAGTGTGTGTATGTTTGTGCTAAGATGTATGTATGTTTCTAGTTGTATGTTTGTGTAAGTCTGTGGTATAGTCTTATTTGTACACCTACCTTTGCGGTATTGTGCGTAGTGCGTGAATCTGGTGTCACTCTGCAGAATAGATATTGTCAGTACTTTATGTGCTTATCTCATGCAAATATATAATGCAAGTCTATTTCAATATGCACACAATCCTATTTATTGATGTACATACGAAATATCTGCATATATGTATATATAAAGAGCACTGCACTGTTTTGTACACCCTTTGAAATAAATCGATGATATATTTATATAAATCGAACATATGCATTCGAACATGTGCATTCGAGGTCATTACTACATATGTAAACAAAAAAATGTGGTGATATTTCTCTGCTCCTACTGTTTTTCCAATACCCTAATGAATGTGTAAATTGTTCGAGGGTTTAGAGTTTTTAGTAGATACATCTGCAAACGTTCCTTGAGATCGCTTTGTTTAAATCATCATACACTTGTTCACCTGTGTTGGTTTTAGTGTAAAGTCATCATACACTTGTTTGCGTGTGTTGGTTGTAGTGTACTATCACCATACACTTGTTCACCAGTGTTGGTTGTAGTGTAAAGTCATCATACACTTGTTCACCTGTGGTGGTTGTAGTGTAATGTCATCATCCACTTCTTCA